GCCTCTTCTGAATCCAGCTTGAACCTCTGGAAGTTCTCTGTCAATGTATGATTGTAGCCGTTTCTGTATTACCTTTAGCAAAACTTTGCACGCTTGTGTGTGTGTGTGTGTATATATATATATATATACAGTCACTATTTTAATGAGTTTCATGAGGGCGTCAGATTGAACGCATCTATTCAATTCACCATTCAATATGATATAACTTCTTAAAGTTTATATTATTGTTTGATTGTTTTTCTGTCATTTTATTGTGGTTGAAGACTGATACAATGTCTATGAAATTATAGTAGCCAGTGGAAACCTTCCCATTCCTCTCCTTCAGCCACTCTGGAAAAATAATGGTATTTAATTTTCCCATAGGCAAGAAGGCTGCTGGATCTTGCCACAGTGAAGACCAATGGATTGGCTGCCTTCCTTCTACAACATGTTCAAGAATTACCAGTTCTGTCGGTCCTGCCTTTTGAAGGTAAGTGTATTTTTTCTCATTTATTGGAAAGGGGAAGTAAGGTCATGTAGATTCATGGTTAAGAGTGAAAAATCCACAGTGAAACTCAGAAACAGGAGAGGCTTCAATAGCACAGCCCAGTATATATAGCAAACATTAATGCCTTTTATAACTCTCTGAAGGAGCTCTGCTATCTCAGTGGTTACGAATCGGACTGTGAACCGCAAGGTCAGCAGTTCGAAACTACCAGGTGCTCCGCGGGAGAAAAATGAGGCTTTCTGCTTCTGTTAAGATTTACAGCCTCAGAAACCTTTACAGGGTCGCTATGGGTCGGAATCGACTCCACAGCACATAACAACAACAACCACATAACTCTCTGAGAGGATGGAGCTCCAGACCAGTGCTTCTCCCTTTTACAACTTCCTGAGAGGCAGATGCTGATGGCTTCACTTCACAGATGTAAGAACGGTGGCAGGGTGGTCAAGTGAGCAGGTACAGACAGCTGGGTCTGATTTTAGACTATTCCACCTACACATTTCTCTTTGGTTGGGTGAAGGAGTTTTCTCCCAGCATTATCATAAGGCAAACTTATCAATCAGCCTGGAGGGTTTCTGAGCGGCTGGTCTCTGCCCTTTGGGCAGTGAGAAAACCAGAGGGAGGGTAAAGATGGCTGGAAGCCTGTGCTCAGCACTGAATAGGTACTGTGGCGCTGTGGGTTAATGTGCCAGACTGCAAAACTGTTTAAACTGCAAGGTCGGTGGTTCAAGCTCATCAGCTGCTCCTCAGAAACCAGCTGCTCCTCAGTAGCTATGGGTCGGAACTGACTCAACGGCACTTAACAACAACAACGTCTAAGAATAGAATGTAGACATCAGTACATGACCAGAATGCAGTGTTGAGCACAGGGCCTGAGTGGCCTGACTCTTGGCTAATATCTATTGTTAATATAAATAAGCAGATCTGGCTGTTTGTGCACTGTAGCACTGTGCCATGGTACAAGATTCCTCACATGTAAAGGTGATGATTAATATGTGTTTATGATTTTTTTAAATGTGGGAGAAATTTCCCTGGAAAGTTTTGACATCAGTGGTGATGGCTGGTAAACCTACATTGGAAACCAGGGCACTAGAGAGGAAGACTTTTTATGGTCTCCATTCAATGCACCTGGTCTATACAGAAAGCAAGTACAGCAGCAGTTTTCAGCAGCTTGGGAACAAAAGAGGAAGCACAGACATAGGGCTTCTCTTTTTTATGATTCTATCAATACAACTTCCATATGCTAAAGACCATTTGTGAAAAGTACTTGGTAGCCTTTAAGTTGGGAGTCTCTGGGTGATGTAAACAATTAATAGGCTTTGCTGCTAATCAAAAGTTGACCATTCCAGTCTACCCAGAAGCTCCTCAGAAAAAAGGCCTAGTGATCTTCTGAAAACTCAGCCACTGAGAAGCCTGTAAAGCACAGTTCTGCTCTGACGTGCATGGGGTCACCACGAGTCAGAGTCAACTCGAGGGCTACTGGCAGCCTTTAAACTGAGGACTAATGGGCCAGATGGCTTCAGCTCAATACTGCTTGGGACCCTGAGACCTGTGGTGTAATTTCAGACCAGTACTTCCCCATTTCCTGAAAAGGGAACTGAATCCTGACACAGGAAGTGGTTTGCTCTTGTTGGTATCAAGATGACAAAGGAAAAGCAGCAGCTCTCTGGACACACCCTGTTCACAAGATGTCTTCCTGGAGAGGATTGCATGAGGAAGATGGGGACATGGAGATAGGATCAAGAAATCTTGTCTGAGTACTCTGCCCAGAAGCTCTGGTGACCCTCAGGCCATCTAGTGCTGGGCCTCAAATCCACATGGATCCCCTGGGAGTGTCCTGCTCCTTTCATGGATGTTTGGCCAGGAGCTTCCAGGGGCAGTTTTCAGGTAGAGATGACATCCAGGACTGCAGAAAGCCAACCCCTTAGCAGAACCCAGAAGAGCCTGGCTGAGGGGAAAAGCCAGGTTCTCTAGTCACCTGCCACCACTTCATGTGAGTTTGGAAAGTCCCTTCTCCTCTCTAAGCCTGACTCAGAAGATCTTTGAGGTTCCCACCCAGAGGCCCAGCAGGAAGTGTAAATGGGTGGGATGCCTTGGTAACTGACGATTATGCTTTCTGATGTGAATGTGTGTTCCCTGCATTACCAGATCTTACGGTTTTTCCCTAAGATAAATTTAGATTAAGATTTGTATGGGAAACCCACATATCTTAGTTTTATTAGGACCTAAAAGCAAACTGGAAGGCACAATGAAGTTTTTACTGAAATTTCTTGTCTCAGTTCTGGAGGCTGAGCGTGTAAGATGAGGGTGTTTTAGCCAAATGGGCTCCTTCTGAAGGCTGTGAGGGAAAATCTGCTCTGTATCTGTCTCCTAGCTTCTGAGCATTCCAAGAGCTCCCTGGCTTGCAGCTGTGATGACATGCCGGCTCCCTCCTCTGTTTTCCCCTTTTAAAAGGACATCACTCAAATAGGATTAGAACCCACTCTACTCATATGATGTTGTAATTGTGGTTGTTAAGTGTCATCGAGTGGTTTCCAACCCATAGAAACCCTGTATAGGGTTTCTGAGGAGCGACTGGTGAGCTTGAACCTCTGACCTTGCAGTTCAAACTGACTTTGCACTCTAGCGCATTAACCCATAGCGCTACCAGGACTCCATGATCTCATGTTAGCTTAACTAAAAACATATTCAAAGACCCTATTTCCAATCAAAGTCTAATTGATGGGTATCAGAATTTAGAACTTCAACATATTTTTGAAAGGGGAGCATAATTCAACCCAAAGCATAAGGGTTTTTAAAAGTTAGCATTTATGTGAAAAGTTTCAAAAATGCTTTATACAGCAAATACAATATGCCTTGCACTTGGAGTGGCCCATGGACAGTAAGTTTGAGACCTGGGCTACCTGGCTTTCTTTCTACATATCCCTCCTGTTTGAGCTTATATGTGGCCTTCCTGAACCTGTAGGAGACCTGGATCCTAGTCAGCTACCTCTCATCACTCTTCACCCTTTTGAGATTCTTGTCCCTATTCTGATGATGATCCTGTGTACTAATATTTTATTTTATTATTCTAGTTATGCTTACAATGATCACTTAAATTTTATAATCCACTCACATGCAGTTTTTTCAATGAATCCCCACTGTAGTAGTTCCAGATTACTGCTGTAATTTAAGGGATTTAACAATACAAATTTGTTCTTATAGTTCTGTAGATCAGAAAGCCAACACAGTTCTCACTGGGCTAAAATCATATGTTCCTTTCTGGAGATTCTAGGGATGAATCTGTTTCCTCGCTCTTTCCAGCTTCCAGAGGCTGCCCCTATTTCTTGGCTCCTGAACCCTTCTTCAGCTGGACAGAGTACTAAGCATTTGACATAACCAGAAACCAGTTGTCATTGAGTTAACTTTGACTCATGGTATTCTCATGTGTATCAGCATAGAACTGTGTTCCATAGAGTTTTCAATGACTGATTGATTATTCAGAAGTTGATTGCTAGGCCATTCTTCCAAGGTGCCTCTGTGTGGACTCCACCTCCATTCTTTTGGTTAGCAGCTAAGCATGGTAACTGTTTGCCCCACTAAAATATTCAGCACTTGACATGCATTGTCTTAATTGGTCCATGTAAAACCCCTTCAAAGTTGGGTTACTCTACATGTGAGCAAACTGAGGCCTAAAAGGTTATGTGATTGGCATCAATGTTTCCCAGCACCAGCACCTATATTCTCCCATGCAGGCCACTCTCTGGCCAGGTCCTGTCTTAAACATAAGCCTCCCCATTTGTCTCTCTTTTCTCTCTCCTAGGTGCTGCATGTAAGAAGTACATGTCCAAGTTGAAGACCACAGTGTCTGCTCAGTCTCGCTTCCTGAGTACCTATGATGGGGTAGAGAACCTTTGCCTAGAAGACATATACACAGAGAACCTCCTAGAGGTGCAGATAGATGTCTGCAAAGCTGGTCCCCCATGGCAGAGGCCGGCCACCCTGGGCCTGCAGGAGCTTTTTGGCCCCCATGGCCATCTCAATGAAGACGCTGACACAATACTGGTGGTGGGCGAGGCGGGCAGCGGCAAGAGCATGCTACTGCAGCAGCTGCACTTCCTGTGGGCTGCAGGCCAGGACTTCCAGGAGTTTCTCTTCGTCTTCCCATTCAGCTGCCGGCAGCTGCAGTGTATAACAAAACCACTCAATGTGCAGACACTGCTCTTCGAACACGGCTGCTGGCCTGACTTTGGTCAACAGGACATCTTCCAATTCCTCCTTGACCACCCTGACTGTGTGTTGCTAACATTTGATGGCTTAGATGAGTTCAGGTTCAGGTTCAACGATTGTGAGCGTCACTGCTCTCCAACTGACCCTACATCTGTACAAAATCTGCTTTTCAACCTTCTGCAGGGCAACCTGCTGAAGAATGTCCGCAAGGTGCTGACAAGCCGTCCAGATGCAGTGACGGCGTACCTCAGGAAGTATGTCTGCATGGAGCTCAATCTCAAAGGTTTCTCAGAGCAGGGCATTGAGCTATACATGAGGAAGCACCATCGGGAACCTGGAGTGGCAGACCACCTTGTCCACCTACTCAGAACCACCTCAGCTTTGCATGGTTTGTGTCACCTCCCTGTCTTCTCATGGATTGTATCCAAATGCCATCAGGAACTGTTGCTGCAGGGCGGGGGGTCCCTGAAGACCTCCACGGACATGTACTTGCTGACCCTGCAGCATTTTCTGTTGCGCACCTCCCCACCAGATCTAGTCCCCCGCAGCTGGGGACCCAGCCTGCTTCGAGACAGACTCCCCACACTCGTGCACCTTGGCCGCCTAGCTCTCTGGGGCCTGGGCCTGTGCTGCTATGTGTTCTCAGCCACACAGCTTCAGGCGGCACAGGTGGACTCTGAGGACATTGCTCTGGGCTTCCTTGTGCGTGCCAAAAGCATCCGACCAAGGGGCTCAGCACCCCTGGAGTTCTTGCACATCACTTTCCAGTGCTTTTTTGCTGCGCTCTACCTTATACTGAGTGCTGACCTGCCACCCACCACGCTCAGATACCTCTTCAATTGCCAAAGCCTGGGAGGCTTTCTGAAGGCCAGGCTGCTGCCCACACTGTGTATCCAGAGCTCTGAATGCAAGGAGGACAATGTGGTGGCTTTACTGCAGAAGGCCGAGCCACACAACCTCCAAACCACAGCATCCTTCCTGGCAGGGCTGTTGTCCCAGGAGCACCGGGGCCTGCTGGCTCAGTGCCAGGCATCTGAAAAGGCCCTACTCCGGCGCCATGCCTGTGTCCGGTGGTGTCTGGCCCGCAGCATCCGTAAGCACTTCCACTCCATCCCGCCTGCTGTGCCAGGTGAAGCCAAGAGCATGCATGCCATGCCTGGCTTCCTCTGGCTCATCCGGAGCCTGTATGAGATGCAGGAGGAACGGTTGGCCCAGGAGGCTGTGCGTGGACTGGATGTCGAACACCTGAAGCTGACATTTTGCAATGTGGGCCCCACTGAGTGTGCAGCCTTGGCCTTTGTGCTGCGGCATCTCCGGCGACCTGTGGCCCTGCAGCTGGATCACAACTCTGTGGGTGACACTGGTCTGGAGCAGCTGCTGCCTTGCCTGGGTGTCTGCAAGGCTCTCTAGTGAGTATTGCTGGATGAGTAGGGGTCCAGGATACTGGCCCCCTACACACAACTTTGGCACAGCTTCTCTACAAGCCGCCTGGATTCCTTCCCAAATCTGGGCCCTAGTTTTCCCACCTGTACAATGTTGTTTTTAGATGCTATCTATTTGAGTATATGTCAATAATGTTGCTGTTATCTTCCATTGAGTCGTTTCCAACATCCTCCTGTATCGTCCTCATAATCATGGCCATGCCTGAACTGTCATTGGGGCTATTGTGTTAATCCGTCTCACTGATGCTCTTCTGCATGGATCATGTACTTCATCAAATACACTGTCCTCCTCAAGTGATTGATCCCTCCTGATGACATGGCCAAAGCAAGCCAGTGGGACAGTGTTCTGTTGTGTTCCATAATATTAATGTTGGCTCACTTTAGAAGTAGATCACCAGGCCTTTCTTCTTAGTCTGTTTTAGTCTGGAAGCTCCATTGAAACCTGTCCACCATGGGTGAACTTACTGGCATTTGAAATACTGGTGACATAGCTTCTAGCATTATTGTTGTTGTTGTCAGGTGCCATCGAGTCGAAACCAACTCATAGCGACCCTATGCACAGCAGAATGAAACAATGTTCGATCCTGGGCCAGCCTCACTACTGCTGCCACACTTGAGTCCATCAATGATGCCACCTGGCCAATCCATCTCGTTAGGGGTCTTCCTCTTTTTCTCTGACCCTCCACCTTACCCAGCATGACATCCTTCTCCAGCGACTGTTTCCTCCAGACAATATGTCCAAAGTATGAGAGACAAAGCTTAGCCATCCTGGCTTCCAAGGAGCACTCTGGATGCACTTCTTCCAAAACAGATCTATTGGTTCTTTTGGCAGTCCATGGCACTTTCAGTATTCTCCTCCAACACCACAACTCAAAGGCATCAGTTCTTCTATGATCTTCCTTATTCACTGTCCAGCTTTCGCATCCATATGAGACTATTGAAAACACCATGGCCTGGGTCAGGCGCACCTTAGTCCTCAGGTTGACATCTCTGCTCTTCAATACTTTAAAAAGTTCCTGTGCAGCAGATTTGCCCAATGCAATACATCGTCTGATCTCTTGACTGCTGCTTCCACGAGTGTTGATAGTTGATCCAAGAAGAATGAAGTCCTTGACAACTTCAATCTTTTCTCCATTGATAAGAATGTTGTTTATTGGTCCACTAGCATTATTGCAACATGCAATTCAACGTAATACAACAAACTGACAGAAATATGGTAGGTGACAACAATACAAGGGTAAGTTAAAGAATATTGCTCTAAAATCATAGAAATCTTTATCAAAACAAAAATAACAAAATGTGAAGTCTCTGTTTCTCAATATATGCCAGCTGCTCCTCAGAATCACTCTACAGGGTTGCTATGAGTCAGAACCAACCTGACAACACTTAACAACATAAAGACGTCAGTTAATATGACTATTGTTCAAATTTATACACCAACCACTAAAGTCAGTGATGAAGAAATTGAAGAATTCTGCAAACTTCTTCAGTCTGAAATGTATCAAGCATGCAATCAAGATGCATTAGTCATTATTGGTGATTGGAATTCTAAATTGGAAAACAAAGCAGAAGGGTCAGTAGTTGGAAAACATGGTCTTGGAGATAGAAATTATGCTGGAGATTGCATGATACAATTCTGTAAGACCAATGACTTACTCATTTCAAATACCTTTTATTCAACAATGTAAAAGACTAGACACATGGACCTCACCAGATGGAATACACAGGAATCAAATTGACTGCAAATATGGAAAGAGACAATGGAGAAGCTCAATGTCATCAGCCAAAAGAAGGCCAGGGAAGACTGTGGAACAGACCATCAATTACTCATATACAAGTTCAAGCTGAAGCTGACAAAAACTAAAACAAGTCCACAAGAGCCAATATATGACCTTGTATATATCTGTACTGAATTTAGAGTTCACCCAAGAGCAGATTTGATGCATTAGACACTAATGACAGAAGGCCAGAAGAGCTGTGGGATGACATCAAGAACATCACACAGAAAGAAAGCAAAAGGTCATTAAAAAGACAGGAAAGAAAGAAAAGACAAAAATGGATGTCAGAAGAGACTCTGAAACTTACTCTTGAGCATAAAGAAGCTAAAGCAAATGGAAGAAATGAGGACGAGTTGAACAGAAAATTTTAAAAAGCAGCTCGAGAAGACTAAGTCAAGTATTGTAATGCAATGTGCAAAGACCTGGCAGTAGAAAATCAAAATGAAAGAATATGCTCAGCATTTCTCAAACTGAAAGACCTGATGAAAAAATTCAAACCATTTCAATAGGTAGCATATGATCAAGAACCGATGATACTGAAGGAAGAAGTCCAAGCTGCATTTATGACATTGGAGAAAAACAAGACTTTAGGAATTGACAGAATACAAATTGAAATCTTTCAACAACCTGATGAAGCACTGAAAGCACTCACTCATTTATGCCAAGAAATTTGGAAGACAGCTACATGGCCACCAACTGATTGGAAAACATCCATATTTGTGCACATTCCAAAGAGAGGTGACCCAACCAAATGGGGAAATCATCAAACAACACCATTAATATCACATGCAAGTAAAATTATGCTGAAGATAATTAAAAAATGGTTCAATAATTCATTGACAGGGAATTGCCAGAAATTAAGCATGGGGATATTATTGCTGACATCAAATGGATCTTGGCTAAAAGCAGAGAATACCAGTGCTTTATCGACTATGCAAAGCCTTTTGACTGTGTGGATCATGAGAAGCTATGGAAAACATTGGGAAGACTGGGTATTCCAGAATGCTTGATTGTGCTCAAGAGGAACCTGTACATAGACCAAAAGGCAGACATTAGAGCAGAACAAGGAGATATTGAATGTTTAAAATCAGGAAAGGTGTGAGCCAGGGTAGTATTCTTTTACTATACTTTTTCAATCTGTATGTTGAGCAAATAATCTTAGAAGCTGGATTCTATGAAGAAGAATGTGGCATCAGGAATGGAGGAAGACTCTCTAGCCACCTTCAATAGGCACATGATGCAACCTTGTTTGCTGGAAGTAAAGAGGACTTAAAGTACTGATAAAGATTAAACACCACAGCCTTCAGTATGAGTTGCACCTCAATGTTAAGAAAACAAAAATCTTCACAAATGGATAAATAAATAATAACATCATGGAAATGGAGAAAAGATTGAAGTTGTCAAAGACTTCAATTTACTTGGATCAACAATCAACACTCATAGAAGCAGCAGTCAAGAAATTAAATGATGTATTGCATTATGTAAATCAGCTATAAAAGCCTTACTCACAATGTTTAAAAGCAAATATATCAATTTGAGTGCTAAGGTGCGTCTGACCCAAGTCATGGTATTTTCACTCCTCTCATAAGCATGTGAGAGAGCTTGTTGGCTCTGTAGAAAAAGTACTGGACTGAAAAATCACAAGTTTGGCAGTTAGAGACCACCAGCCACTCCTAGGGATAAAGATGAGACTTTTCTTTTCCCACAATGAAACCTCTGAAACCCTATACAGGGTGGCTATGAGCAGAAATTGACTAGTGATACTGAACAACAACAAATATGCATGTGAACGTTGGACAATGAATGATGAAGACCTTAGAAAGAACTGATGCTTTTAAATTATGATCATAGGCAAGAATATGGAAAGTACCATGGACTGCCAGAAGAACCAACAAATCTGTCTTAGAATAAGCCAAAATGCTCCCTAGAAGCAAGGATGGCAAGCCTTCATCTCTCATACTTCAAACATGTCATCAGGATGGACCAATCCCTGGAGAAAGACATCATGCTTGGTAAAGTGGAGGGTCAGTAAAAAAGAGGAAGCACCCGAACAAGATGGATCAGCACAGTGGCAGCTGCAGTGGGCTCAAAGGTAACAATTATGAGTATGGTGCAGGATTAGGCAGTGTTGCATTCTGTTGTCATGATGAGTCAGACCCAACTGGATGGCACCTAACAGCAACAGCAGTAGCTAACCTAAAGATTGGCAGTTCCAAGCCACCTAGTGCTATGGAACAAAGGTGATCTGCTTCTGTAAAGATTTTCTAAGAAAACCCTCTGGAACAGTTCTCTATACAGCAACAGATCAATTCAGTGAGGCTCAGAGAAGTATAATCACATGTCCAGGATAACACAGGAAACAGCAAAGCCAAGAGTCAAAAGTCACACCTTTATGCTTACCTTGCTCCCCATGTGCTTACCTGAAGTCTGTGGACAGACTTCAGGGACTCCATGAAAACCGTCAAGTCAATGCATAGTTTCGTGTAGCCCAGGTCAGTGGTGACTTGCTCCCTATCAGTGGGAATTTAAGAGAGAGAAAGGGGCTGAAGGGTTTGAGCTGGCTGTAAGTTCCTCACATAGTGCAGTGTGAACACGATTGTGGCATTCTCCTTGCTGCTTGCAGCGTCCTGTCTGAAGGGGTTTTACACTTTAAAATGTCAGTGCCCAGCACATCCAGCTCCCGTTTCCCTGTTATAACCTCTGAGAAAGCAGAAGCTGTAACTTAGAATTGAAATCTATTCACATATTCCCAGGACTTTTGGTCTTCCCTAGACAACAAAGGAGCTCTGGTAGCATAGTGGTTACGAATTGGGCTGTGAACCGCAAGGTCAACAGTTCGAAACTACCAGCTGTTCCGTGGGAGAAAGATGAGGCTTTCTGCTCCCATAAAGATTTACAGTCTCGGAAACCCTGCACAGGGTTGCTATGGGTCAGAACTGACGCAACGACACTTAACAACAACAACAGACAACATTATAAGGAGCTCTGGTAGTATAGTGGTTACGACTCGGGCTGCAAACCTCAAGTTCAGCAGTTCAAAACTACCAGTGGGAGAAAGAGGAGGCTTGCTGCTCCCGTAAAGATTTATAGCCTCAGAAACCCTGTACAGGGTCGCTATGAGTCGGAATCGACTCCACAGCACATAACCACCACCACCAGACAACATTATAAGGAGCTCTGGTAGTGTAGTGGTTACGAGTCGGGCTGTTAACCTTAAGGTCAGCAGTTTGAAACTACCAGCTATTCTGTGGGAGAAAGATGAGGCTTTCTGCTCCCATAAAGATTTGCAGCCTTGGAAACCCTGTAGAGGGTTGCTGAGTCGGAACCAACTCCATGGCACATAACCACCACCACCACCAGACAACATTGTTGTTGTTGTTAAGTGCCGTCGAGTCGGTTCCGACCCATAGCGACCCTGTACAGGGTTTCCGAGGGTGTAAATCCTTACGGGAGTAGAAAGCCTCATCTTTCTCCTTCGGAGCGGCTGGTAGTTTTGAATATGGTACCAAACAAGGGACAGGAGTCCTGGTGTGGTGGTGCTGTGGGTTAATGTGCTGGACTGCAATGTTGGTTTAAACCACAAAGTCGATGGTTTAAGCTCACCAGCCACTCCTTGGAAACCATATACAGGGCCACTATGGGTTGGAACCAACTCAACGGTACTTAACAACAACAACGAAGCAAGGGACATGCACATATTCTCTGGGGCAAAGCAGCAAAATTCTTTTCCTCCAGGGAGAAATACTTGGATATCTACTAGAAATGGTTATCCCTTCATCATAACTTCATTATATAATAATGACATTTTTATTGTTGTTAGGTGCTGTCCAGTCAATTCTGACTCAGTGACCCTGTGTATGACAAGAGGAAGCACGCCATCCTCTCTATCTTTACCATATTTGAGCCCACTGTTGCAGCCACTGTGTTTATCCATGTCCTTGAGGGTCTTCCTCTTTGTCACTGACCCTCCACTTTACCAGGCAGGTAATAACATAATACTCAGATATGTAACCCACCAGCTGTTGTGGAGTCACTTCCAACTCCTGGTGATCTCATGTGTGTCAGAGTAGAACTGCGCTCAGGAGGGTTTTCAGTGGTTGATTTTTCAGAAGTAGGTTGCCAGGCCTTTCTTCTGAGGAGTCTCTGGATAGACTCGAACCACCAACCTTTTGGGTAGCAGCTGAGTGTGCTAACAACCATTTGCATCACCCAGGGACTCCATACTATATATGTTGTTGTTGTTGTTAGGAGCCATCGAGTCAGTTTTGACTCATAGCGACCCTGTATAGGATTTCTGAGGAGCAGCCGGTGAGCTTGAACGCCGACCTTACAGTTCAAATGACTTTGCATTCTGGCGCATTAACCCACAGCACCACACTAGGACTCCATACTATATACAGTTAATATATACTATGTGTAATTAATATACTGTATATCATGTTGTTGTTGTTATGTGCCATGGAGTTGGTTCCGACTCATAGTGACCCTGTGTAGGGTTTCCGAGGCTGTAAATCTTTACAGGAGCAGAAAGCCTCATCTTTCTCCCACGGAACAGCTGGTAGTTTCGAACTGCTGACCTTGCGACTCACAGCCCGATTCGTAACCACTACGTTACCAGAGCTCCTTGTACTGTATATCATAGTATGTTATAAATGCAAACACACAAGTTAGGGGCTTGGTGGAAACATGACATAGTTAAATTGGATGATTGGAGGAGAGTTTAACAAAGGGACTGCTGGCTAAGGTGTGGACAGGAAATGGGAAAAGCACAGAGGGACAGTGTGGGATTCTGAGGCTTGTCTTGGGGGTAGGGCTTAGAATTCTGAGAGGAAGACAAATAGGATGATGCCTGAGAGGAACTGCAGCAACCTGGAGGGGCTGATGTGGGGGAATGAAAGGCTCACTCTGCTCCTCACACCTGTCCCCAGCCAAGGCCTTTTGCTGGCTAACCCAATAGGTTTAGCTTCCAGAACAGAAAGCCAGGAAGGAAGGGAGACAGTAGATCCGGTAGAACCAACATGAGGTGGTCAGCACAAAACTCTATTTCCATAAGAAGGAAGAATTATGATATTTTGACTGGGAATTAGGCACCTGTCTGTGAGAGCTATTTTCCTGATAAAAATATGAATCTACATTTAGCTGATTTGCTGGATAGTGGGCTCATATCATAGTTTTCACCAGATTCTTAAGTTGGTCTCCGAACCCCAGAAAGCCAGGAACTCCTGTCCTGGATGTCCCTGAAGCCAAGTCTACACTGAAAATCTTGAGTGGATGATCTCTTCTGGGTTAGGGATGTCCTTGTGGGCAGAGGGCTGGTAGGAGGTTGTGCTTGGTCTTTATTTCAGAGTAAGGTGAATATGGTCTGGTTCATGGTTCTCAGACTGTAGTGTGCAAAGGTGCTTGTTGAGATGCAGATTCCTGGGCCTGCCCCAGTGATTCCCGTTGAGCAAGTCTATGTGGAGGCCTAGGAATCTGTGTTTTTAACACATACCCCTGGTGATTTTGATACAAGTGATCCATAGAGCACACTCTGAAATAGTGGTGTGCCTGAAGCAGCTTGATTTTTCATCACCAATTAAGTCCTTGACTAACTTCTACACAGTGGCCAATACTGCAGAAGGGCTTGCTGGGTGCACATTTCCTATGTGTGTTTTTGCATGTGTGAGAGAGAGAATGAGGGGCTTTGCTCCCACATTCTTAGGCTGCATTGCTCCCACTTAAACTGTTTCCATGGCAACCAAAAATCCTGAGGTTCCAGGAACCCTGTATACAGTACTCCTATATAGGTTTTTCTAATGAGCTCTGACAGTGTTGTAGGATAAGCACCAGATTGCTAACTACAAGGTCAGCACTTCCAACCCACCAGGTGCTTGGTAGAAGAAAGATGTGGCTTTCCGCTCCTGTAAAGATGTGCATCCTCAAAAAACTCTATGCAGGGTCTCTGTGAGTCAGAATCAACTTGATGGTAACTCTAGACCCTGGGTCTGACTCTAAGATGGTGCTTTTCAAAATTGTTTAACTGCAACCACATGAGAGAGAAAAAGAGTGAGGGAGAGAGAGAGAGGAAAAAAAGAGGGAGTGAGAGGCAATGCATGTAAAACTGAAACTAAAGCTTCTTCATGAAATTAATGTTGATACAGTCTGCTCTTTCCTTCTGTTCTATTTTATTTAAAATAAATACTTCAAAACTGATTCATGTGATGGTCAAGGGTGGGCTTTGGAGCCAGACTGTCCCGACTCAAATCCTTGACTTGCTTTACAACTTGCCCAAATCGTTTCACTGTGGCTTGGCATCCTTCTTTGTAACTGACATAATAGTGCCTGTGACAAAGGGTTGTGGTGATGATAAAAAGGTTACCATTTGTGAAATACCAGGAACCTTGATGGCACAGTGGTTACACACTTGGCTGCTAACTGAATAGTCATTGGTTCGAACCCACCAGCCCCTCTGTGACAGAAAGATGTGGCAGTCTGCTTCTGTAATGATTTACAGCTCTGGAAACCCTATGGAGCGGTTCTATGCCTTCATACAGAGCGCTACGAGTGGGAATCAACTTGATGGCAATGAGTAATTCCTGTAATGCTAGGACAGTCCTAGTGTGGCTCTGTGGGTTGATGTGCTGGACTGCAAAGTCCATTTGAACCATGAGGTCAGCAGTTCAAGCTCACCAATTGCTCCTAGGAAATTATGTGCAGCGTCGCTGTGGGTCGGAACCAACTTGACAGCACTGTAAACAACAGCAGGACAGCACTCAGAACATAAAACATTCCATAGACGCTGGTGATCATGATTACAGGGTGCTCTTACCAAGCCCCAGGTGTTCCTAGTTCTTCACACTGTCTCTGCGGTTGGTCATACTGTTGCTCCCTTTCTATAGATGGAGGAGACATTATCTAGTAAGTGGCTGCTCAGGATCAGAACGTCCAGCTGAAGGACTCCACTGACTATTAACCATTAAGTCAAGGTCTCCCATGCTTGAATATCAGAATTATGTATACAGTTGTTTAAAAAAAATAGAGACAACTGGACCCACCCCACAATCATCATTTCCAGCAGAGGCCCCGAGAATCTGTCTTTTAGGGGAACTTCCCAATGGTCAAGTCATCTCCTGAGAAGACTTTCAAAGGGATTAGCTAGGCTGGGTGTGGCCTGTGGTAGTGATGTCTCGAGGGAGGAAGAGCTAGACAGCAGGACCTCACTAAGCACAGCCTGCCTGCTTATTTCCCTGACATCTGCTCACATAAATAGTGATAACCACCATGATCCCAAAGTAGACCTGTCTAATCCCCACTGCACCTTTGGCATGCGTTGGCTCCTTCTCATCCCAGAACCTTTTGTGAGACTGTATGATCACATCTCCCTTTTGTTATTGGTGTTAGCTGTTATGTGATTCCAGGCACAATGGGCCAAAACCCTACCACGTCCTGCACCATCCCCGTGACCAGTGCAGATCAGACTGTTGTGATCCATAAAGTTTTCCTAGAGTGATTTTCAGAAGTAGACTGCCAGACCATTCTTCGTAGTCTTTTTTCATCTGGACGCTTACTGAAACCTGTTCAACATCAAAGTAACACACAAGCCTCCATGGACAGACAGGTGGTGGCTGTACAGGAGATTCAAACCCAGGTCTCTTCTATGGAAGGCTAGGATTCTACCATCAATGTCTCTTTTACAAAAATCAAAACCTCACATTTGAAGCAGCACTTCCGGAGGGTGCCAGGCTTCCTAAGTGAGGCTTTGGATCTCTAGTCCCATAACTGTTACCCACCACAGTATATCAGTCAGCCCCCTGGCCAGGGATGGTGGGGTAGAGGGAATCTTCACTCCTCCTTGATGCTCTGTCCTTGCAGCTGTTTCTTCAACGGGGGTTGAGTTGTCATTTTTTCTCTGTGTTTCTTATCAGCTGCACTTTCAAATTTATTTATTTCATCTTTTTTAGTTTGCGAGATAACAATATCTCAGACCAAGGCATCAGCAAACTCATCGAACAAGCTCTTCACTGTGAGCAGCTGCAGAAATTGGCGTAAGTCAAACTGGGTCATGCACATTGGGCCCTGGGTACCAGCCTCACTCCAGGCCTGGGCAGGTGCGTGGGTATTTGCTTGGCTGGAGGGTGAAGGAGGTGGCTGCCTATTTGGGTGGTCACTGCCCTTTGTTTTTGTCTCCATGTCTTCTCTCTCCTGGAACTTTCCAGTCTCTTCAACAACAAGTTGACTGATGGTTGTGCACACTCCATAGCCAAGCTCCTTGCATGCAAGCATAACTTCTTGGCATTGAGGTGAGCTTGGGACTTCCCTGTTCCCTGGAAACAGTTTTTTCCCTAACCCCTGAGCCAATCTGCTCTGGTCTCAGTCCTGATTCAGCCCACACTGGGACCATGACTTTCAGTCTGAATTCAGGGCTGCTAACAGAAAGATTGGAGTCCTGGTATGGCACTATGGGCTAATGCGTCAGGCAGCAAAGTCGTTTGAACTGCAAGGTTGGTGATTCAAGCTCACCAACTGCTGCTTGGAAACCCTATACAGGGTCGCTGTGGGTTGGAATTGACTGGCCAGCACTCAACAACAACAACAACAGAAAGATTGGAGATGTGAGTCTACCCAGAGGTACCTTACAAGAAAAACCTGGCACAGTTCGCCTACTCTGTGGTCACCATCAGTCAGAATCAACTCAGTGGCAACTAGTTCTTGGTTTTTAACTGTTTCCCTTTGGATAAGGATTTCTCTAGAACCATGACTTCCCCAGCATACTCTGGACTGGTGCTGCTGACAGCTCCCTGCCCTTTGACCTTTAGCCCTCACAGCTGAGGAAAGGTTCATGGGACCAGCCCAGGATTGGACATTTTGTTCTGTCATGCGTGGGGTCACCAGCCGTGAGCTGCTGACTGGAAACTGACAGCAGCTGCTTCCCTAGTGGGATTCTCCAACCTGGCTGCTTCCTGCCATTAAAGATCTCTCCTTTGTGGAGAACATCCCTCCCAGCTGCCTGGCCCTGCCCTGACTTTGTTGTAACAGGTTGATGCAGCTGCAGTTCAGGGAAGCTACAGGGGGCCTGCTGAGATCTAGAGCCAGCAGGTACCTGAACAGTCAGAAAAGGTGGGGCAGTAAATTATTGTCCATAACCCCGCCTCACCCTTCAGGGAAACCACTTCCCAGCATGGCTGCCTCTGATGGCTCCTATCTGTACCTGTCAAGCAGTTTTGCAAAGCAGCCCCGGCTTTCCATTGCTGATGGAAATGAAGTCGAGGTCAGGTGAGGTTGAGTTAGCTCACAGAGTAGGAACAGCACACACTGGGCTGCCCTGGAGTGTGGGAACGGGTCCTGCGGCTTGTGTAGGAGAGGAGCTTTCTTCCCATGTGTCTCTGCAGGATGCCCCTTCCCACAGTACCCTGGAACTTTGGGGCATGAAGGTTTTTAGGCCTCTGCCCTCAGTTGTGCTCTCTTGGCCTCTCTGTCTTCCCTTCCAGGCTGGGGAATAACCACATTACTGCTGTGGGGGCTGAGGTGCTGGCCCAGGGGCTCCGAAACAACAACTCTCTCCAGTTTATGGGGTAGGTTGGGCCCTGGGCCCAGGGGAACACAAGGAGGTGCTTGGGGCATTGGCGAATTTAGGGGCAGGTGAAACTCTTAAGCCAGAAGCCCTTATGCTACAGTGGAGAGGGTGAACCATGGACTGAGTGGGTGATAAACAGGAAGTTGAGGATGCCAGGGCTGTGGAGGGGAGGGGACAGGAAGCCCTCAGGGGCCTAGGGTTGTGCTTCATGGCTTGATTGCACATTGAAATCACTTAGGAAGCTACTAAAAATACTGCTGACTGGAGCCCACTTAGGATTAATTAAATGGAAATATCTGGGCAAAGGGCCCTGGCAGTAGAGATTTCTGAAAGCATCACAGAGAAGGTGAGGCCAGGGATGAGAACCACAGACCTGGGAAGAGGTGAAGATGGATCCAGGATGGCAGGAGGCTCTCCCAAGTCTTTCAGAACTACTAGGCTGGCCAGAGAGGGACAGGAGGGAAGTAATTAAGGACTTGTGGGTGGCAGTTACCTGGAGGCAAATCTGAACTAAGTATCAGAGAAGTGTTGCAACTACATGAGTTCATTGTCTCTAGGGGTATGGGCTGGATGGGTCACTACTCTTCTGTGAGTCTGTGAACTAAAGCTGCAGGAAATTTTGAGTAAGGTTGGCCGTCCAAATAAAAAGATGGAGGCAGGTAGGCTGTGCTGGCAGGTGACCCAATGAGACCTCTCTGGGGCTGGATGGTGCTGCTCCTGTGGCTTGGGCTGCAGAGAACAGAGGCACTGTTAACACCTGTCTAGAATACTATTAACACACGGCATGTACTGACTATCTGTTGACTATGTTGATCATTTCAGGTTCTGGGGCAACAAGGTGGGTGACAAAGGAGCCCAGGCCTTGGCTGAGGCTTTGAGTGACCACCAGAGCTTGAAATGGCTTAGGTAAGATTCAGGGTCTGTTCTGAAATTGTCATAGGGAGAGTCAGGGCGAGAACGGAAGAGCTTGGTTCTCCTTCATTTTTACCCTCATATATTAGGGAGTCCTGGTGTGGTGCTGTAGGATAAGCACTGGACTGCTAACCACAAGGTCAGTGATTCAAACACACCAGCTACTCCTTGGAAGCCCCACACTTGGTCACTATGTGTTGGAACCCACTCAATGGCACTTAACAACGTGTTAGGTAGTGGGGTGAATAATTGGATTTAGAGTTGGGATTTGAGTCTTTCTAAGTGACTTTGGAGATGTTCCTTCCCCTCTCAGAGGTCTTGATTCCTACTTGTAAATTGAAGTTCTTGTGTTGAATTAGATTCATTGTATCTCAATGACAAACTCTAGTCCATTATTTGTGGTTGCCTATGTACTATGCTGAGAAGGATTGTAAGCATATATCTGGATTTAATAAGAAAGAGCCCTGTAATCGATTAATGATGTCTGAAATGGAACAGATGAAGAGAATTAGTGTTATGTGTGCCATGCATTTTGCTGTTCATGCATTTGTGTTTATCTCTGAGGTCCCTCCCTTCTCTGACATATTTTTGTTTCATGATCATGTCCAGCTTGGTAGGAAACAACATTGGCAGTGTTGGTGCACAAGCTTTAGCACTGATGTTGGAAAAGAACATGGTACTGGAAGAACTCTGGTGAGTTTGGGGGATTTCCTGCTCTAGCCTCACTTATGGAAGCCGTGTATGGAAAAGGCAAAGGTGAAGGATTGATTGTCTTTGGCTTTACATATACTGGGTACTGTGCCACTTATGGAGCTTGGTATATAGGTACTAATTCTTTTTATTTAATTACTTAATTGGTTTATATGTTTGCTCCCAGCACATGGCTTAATGATGAGGAGCACAGATGCAAGTATCAAGCAGACTGAAATTCTGTTGTGATGTTAAATAATAATAATCTCTGAATCTGTTTTCCCACCTATAAAATGAGGATAAGAATAGTTTCAATTATTAAACATTGTCAGAATTAAATGAGATAATGTTTGTAAAGAGCTCCTGGCATAAGTGTAAGCATTCTATAAATGCTGAACTATACTTCAGTTCCGGTGTGGTGCTGTGCATTAATGCACTGGACTCAAAGTCAGTTTGAGCCACAAGACTGGTGTTTCAAGCTCACCAGCCACTCCTTGGAAACCCTGTACAGGTTCGCTGTGGATCGGAATCAACTCAACAGCACTTAACAACGACAACAACAACATACTTGTAGCATGATTCCTATGATTACTACTATGATTACTACCAGTACTGATGGGATTTTATTAGTTTAACGTACATTTGATTAGAGTTCATGGTTATCTTGGAGAGTGGCGTAACATTTGGGAGAAATTGGAAGATGAAGTTAGAGTTATGCTTCATGCTTATGGACCTGAAACTGAGTGCAAGTTTTCCATCCTTCAGGCTCTTCTGTGCTTCTTCAGGCTCTTCTTCAGTTCTTCTGACATTTCTGGAAAGTTCAAGATTATGTCAAGGAGATTAAATGCTGAATGTTTGATATTTCCAAGAATTGGAATTCTATGGCAATGAAACAAATGAACATTGCCATAGAACGGTGCTTGGCTGTTGGCAGGGCTCACTAGCTCTACCATGCTTATAGTCTGATTGGATTTTACCCCTGGAACTTCTTGGTAGAATGGTACCTCACTGTGGTGTAGTAGTTATGATTGCTTTAGGCAGCAAGTGATGAAAAAGTTCCTTTTACAGAAGCTTAGCCACCGCCTGTCTGCCACTTTCTCTTACTGTGGTGAATTTGGTGCTGCCATGATGCTGGAAGCTGTGTCAGTGGTATTTCAAATACCAGCATGGTCACCCATGATGGATAGGTTTCAGTGGAACTTCCAGACTAAGACAGACTAGGAAGAAAGGCCTGGCAATCTACTTCTGAAAATTGGCCAATGAAAACCTACTGATCACAATAGAATATTGCTACAAGGTGAGCCCCCCCCCCCATGTTGGAAGGTACTTAAAATATAGTGACCACAACAATGGACTTAAGCATAGCAACAATTGTGAAGGCGAGGTAGGTCCAGACAATGTTTCATTCTGTTGTATATGGATTGAAGCAGAGTCAATGATGACTGCTTAAAGAAATGATGTGTTTATCTGAAGGTAGGCAGTATAGGCTTGGTATGGTGGCTACATGAAGACAGTAGGGACCTCAACTCTGTCTGTCTCTCTCTTTGATCATCCTTAGCCCATGGATTTGTCTTCATAGTTGATTGCTTCATGATCACAAGATCTCTATCCACAACACTACTTCTGTTGTCGAGAGCTCAGTATGTATACCCAGGAAGGGATAAAAGTATAGAGCAGATGAATGTGTCCTCATTAAAAAGTATTCCAAGAAGCTCCTGGAGAGACTGGAAAGTGTGTTTTCAGAAGTCTCATAGCTGTACCAAATAGAACTACCAGCACCAATTGCTGTTGAGTGAATTCTGACTCATGGCAATTGCATGTGTCAGACTAGAACTGTGCTCCGTAGGGTTTTCAATGGCTGAATCTTCAGTAGATCACCAGGTCTTTCTTCCAAAGTGCCTCTGGGTGGATTTGAACCTCCAACCTTTCAGTTAGTAGAAAAGTACATAAACTACCACCCAGGGACTCCCAAACAAAATTTATTGTTTTAGTAAGATGTTTTCGAGTCAGTTCTGACCCATAGCAATCCTATGTACAACAAAACGAAGAACAGCCCAGTCCTAAACCATCCTTACAGTTGCTGCTATGCTTGAGCCCATTATTGCTGCCACTGTGCCAATCCATCTCATTGGGGGGTCTCCCTCTTTTTTGCTGTTCCTCCTCTTTACCAAGCATGATGTCCTTCTATAGGGACTGGTCACTCCTGTTAATATGTCCGAAGTATGAGAAACCAAGTCTGGCCATCTTGACTTCTAAGGAGCATTCTGGTTGTACTTTTTCCACCACAGATCTGTTCTTCTGGCAGTCCATACTACCTTTAATATTTTTGCAATCCATGGTGCCTTTAATAATTTCCACCAACACTCTTGCTCAAATGCATCAATTCTACGATCTTCCATATTCATTGTCCAACTTTCCTCTTCATATAAGGCAATTGAAAATACTGTAGCTTGGGTCAGCCACACTTCAGTCTTTAAACTGCCATCTTTGCTCTTGAACACTTTAAAGAAGTCTTGTGCAGTAGATTTGCCCTAATGCAATAAAAATCATTTGATGTCTTGACTGCTGCTTCCATAAGTATTGATAGTGGATCCAGGCAAAATAAAGTTTTGACAACTTCAATGTTTTCTCCATTTATCTTGATGTGATTCATTGGTCCAGTAGTGAGGATTTTTTATTTTTTCCACATTGAATTACAACCCATAGTGAAGGTTGTGGTCTTTGATCTTTATCAGTAACTATTTTAAGTCCTCTTTGCTTTCAACATGCAAGGTTGTATCAACTGCATATCGTAGGTTGTTAACAAGTCTCCCTCCAATATTGATTCCTCATTCTTCTTCATATAATCCAGCTTCTCAGATTATTCGATCAATATACAGATTGAATAAATATGAAGAAAGAATACAACACTGACTCATACCTTTCCTGATTTTAAAACATTCAGTATCCACTTGTTCCTTTTGAATGATTGCCTCGTGGTCTATGTACAGGTTCCTCATGAGCACATCTAAGTGTTCTAGAATACTCATTCTCCATGTTAGCCTTAGCTTGTCATGACCCACACAGTTGAAAGTCTTTTCATAGTCAATAAAGCACATGTGAATGTCTTTTTAGTATGCTCTGATTTCAGTAAAGGTCCATCTGGCATCAGCAATGTTATCCCTCATTCCATGTCTTCATCCAAATCAAGCTTGAACCTCTGACTGTTCCCTGTCAAGTGTATTGTTGCAGCCATTTTTTAATTCTCTTTAACAAAATTTTACTTGCGTGTGATAGTAATGATACTGTCTGATGATTTTCGCATCCTATTGGGTCCACCTGTCTTTGAAATGGGCACAAATATGGATCTCTTTCAATCAGTTGGCCAGGTAGCAGTCTTCCAAATTTCTTGGCACAGATGAATGAGTGCCTCCAGTGCTGCATCAGTTTATTGAAATATTTCAATTTGTATTCCATCAATTCCCAGAGCCCTGTTCTTTACCATTGCCTTGAGTGCACATTGGACTTGACTGTATGTTTGATCTGTTTCAGGCTGAAGAAGTTGGTAGAATGCGTCAGTTTCATCGTCACTGGTTTTAGTGGTTGGTGCATGAATTTGAATAATAGAATTGTTAACTGGTCTTCTATGTAGGCATGTGGATATTATCCTATCACAGACAGTTTTATGCTTCAAGATCTTGAAATGTTCTTTTTGATGATGAATGTGATGCCATTCCTCTTCAATTTTTTATTCCTGGCATAGTAAAACATGTGATTATCATATTCAAAATGGTCAACACCAGTCCATTTCAGCTCACTGATGCCGAGGATATTGATCTTTATATGATCCATTTCATTTTTGACAATTTCCAGTTTTCATGGATTCATATTTCGTTTGTTGTTAAGTGCCATCGAGTCGGTTCCGACCCATAGCGACCCTCTTTGGGGCTTCCAAGGAGCAGCTGGTGAGCTCGAACTGCCTACATTGCAGTTCAAGCTGACCTTGCAGTCAAACACATTAGCCCTCAGCGCCACACCAAGACTCCTCATACTTCATAGGGCCCCATTTATAAGGAAGAAAGTCAAAATGTGTTGTGTAGTGAGGCATACAAGAATTCATAGAGGCCTGGGGGTGAATTGTCTTGGCAGCAGTGTCATACCCTACTTTATCTTTCCCATACATTTGAATTCTCAGATGTTCAATTTTCTAAATCTTAGCATATGGATTCATCTTTATTGACATCATCCTCCATAAGAAATGCTGTCATATCAACTGGATTTTCTTTCTTGTTTTTGCCAGCCTGGAAGAGAACTATCTCCATGATGAAGGAGTGTGTTTTCTTGCTGAAGGACTTCAGAGAAACTCAAGTTTGAAAATCCTGAAGTAAGGAACCCACAAACAGGAGCTGGGGAATAATAACTGACTTTGGGGGGAATAGGGCAGAGATGCTTCTCAATCAGAAATCTGGATAGCTCCCAGTCCAAGGACACTCCCAGTTTGTTTCCAGCCATTCAGAAAACAGCTTGGTCAAAGGCAAGTAGTCTGTTTAGAGGTGGTCCTAGAAAATACATGTGGGAGAAGAGTGATGTGAAACTGAAAAGGGCAGGCAGTCATGAAAGAACGTGTTATCACTACGAAGGGCAACTAAGGCTCACTCAGAGGCCCCTGCTAGTGAACTCAGAGAGCCAGTGCAAAAGCTCTTGGTTACCTGCCCACCTCAGGGGTGAAAAAGCTGGGTTGCTTATCTACCATGGACCTGTGCATGCTATGTTGAGATGTGCTTGTGGAGCAGGAACTACTGGGCACCATCAGCTTGTACTACACGTGGCTGAGCTTGCTCCTCAGGCAGTGTGTTCCCCGCAAGCAACTTTCAGTTAAAGGTGAAAGGGAAGGGAATACTGGTGGGTTGCTAACTGTGTCTGTTATGTGGCTCATTGGAAGTGTCCTTCTCTCTCTCCAGTGGCCAGCTCTGGCTCAGGCAGGAGAAGTCTTCAGATGGTCAACTTGTCATGTTATGCAGTCATGGATGTATGCATGTGTTTATATATGCATACATGGATTTACTCATTCATCATGCATGTATGCATTTATTTATGCACACATTCATGCATGCATTCATATATTCATACAAGATACATTGCTTCAGTGCCCATTCTGTACCAAGAGCTGTTTGAGGCCCTGAAGATATAGTGATAAAAGGTTAGAGTGGTTCCCTGCTCACATGACTCTTAAATTCTAATGGGGGACACAGATAGTGAGCAAGTAAACAAATAAGCAGACCATTTCTGGTGGTAGTAAGGACTACAAAAATTCAAGAGGGAGATGTGATAGAGCGTGACTGGAAAGGACTGCTTGCTACTACTCAGGCAAGGTCTGGCTGAGAAGGTGGCATTTGAGTTTTAGACCTGAATAGCTTGAGGTGCCCACCATGCTGAGGTCTCAGGGAAAGGCATTCCAGGTGAAGGGGATGTATGTGCAAAGGCCTTAAGGCAGAGTAAGCTTGGTGATTTTGTGAATAAAAGAGCCTGTGAGGTTAGAATATAGGGGGAAGGAAGGGGCAGGCAGAGTGGGTCACATAAGGAAGGCCCAGAGTCATGGAAGGATTTGGGGTTTTATTCTAAGGGGATTGGGAAGCTTTTGGAAGTTCTGGGCTTTTGGCTTTTATTTTTTTCATATGTATTTTTCATTGCAGTGAAATATATATAGCAAAACATTTGCCAGTCTAACCATTTTAAGTGTATAGTTTGGGGACATTAATTACATTCACCATATGTGTAACCATGACCACTATCCATTTTTAAATGTTTTCCATCCTTCTAAATAAAAAATCAGTACCCCTTAAGGATTAACTTCCCATCCCTAAGCTCCTAGGAACGACTAACAAGCTTTTGTTTCTATGCATTGGCGTATTCTAAGTATTCATGTAAGTGGGATCCTAAAGTATTTGTCCTTCTGTATCTGATTTCTGAGTATTCCCCTCAACTTGTTTTCAAGGTTCATCCACGTTGTAGCATGTATCAGTATTTTAGTTCTCTTTATGGATAGGCATCACATATTGATTATTCATTCATCTGTTGATGGATACTTGGGTTATTTCTACCTTTGGACTATTGTAAATGACACTGTAATGAACATTAGTGTATACCTTTTGGAGTGGCATGATCTGATGTATGCCATCACAGTATAGTCATTTGAAGAGTGGTCAGATGGGAGCACGGAGAGCTGTCAGGAGGCTCTTGCAGTCTTACAGATGAGAAATGACAGAGACTTGAAATAAGCTAGTGGCAGTGGAGAAACCTGGTTAAGTCCTGCCAGGTTAGGAGCAGTGTTGATAAGGAAGTCACCTGGGGTCCTCTGGTAGAGGGCCCCATGGACAGGGCCCCATGCCACAAGGAGAGGGACAGTGACTATAAGCAGAAGATCCCTGAGTAAGCATCCTGAACTCATGCTGATGCTTTCCAAAACAGGCGCCCACAGTTTCATTCCTGGGGACATCTCCGTTTCCTAGAGGGAGGTAGCATCTGCCCTGGCAAATGTGCCCCAAAAGACCTCCAGAGACTGTCAGGCAGCTACCTTGGATGCTGGCTTTGCTGCCAGATCACTTTCTACTTCGTGGTGCTTGTTTGTGTTGTTTTACAGGGTCTAGAAAGTTGCCAAATGTTTGGGGATAACACTACAACTTATCACATGGGTGGAAACAGACAAAAAGGCTGGATTGGTCCAATCCAGCATGTGTGAATGTGACACATTTGTATACCCTCATTGCTACTTACTTCCCACCTGTCCCCAGTGGCCTAGGTGATAGGAGGTGCCCCACACTTCGTTCCTACCTTTATTGTTCAGTCCGCCCCCCACTGTTTTCCTATATAAATCAAGCTTCTGATAGATCTTTTTTTTTTTTTTTTTCTCCTTTCTTTTAAATGCCTGCATTTCCCCCCCAGGCTTAAACGCTGCCAAATGTTGGTTCAGTGAGCAGGCTCTGGAGCCCAATGGCCTGGGTTTGTACCCTAGCTCTGTCATGACCAGCTATTTCTCCTTGGACTAGTGCTTCAGTTTCTCTAAGCATAAATGGGCATAAAAATTGGAGCTTCCTCATCAGGTTGTGAGCACTCACTGAGATAATGTCACAAAGGAGCTGGCATATAGGAAGAGCTCAGCAGATATTAGCTATTATTATCACTTGCATTGCCTTAGCATCAGCTTCTAAGACGTTCCTACAGTTGTGGAGGAGGTGGAAGACAGTTGGTAGAAGGCAAAGCTGTGAGCCGAAGAGCAGCAGAGAATCACAGGCTATCCCCTCACTCTCTCTCCCCCATTCCTAATCTCATATTTTCTCTAATTGTGTTCCCATACCTCCCCCCAAAACCCCCATTGCTATGGAGTCTATTCTGACTCACTGCAACCCCATAGAAGAGAGTAGAGCTCCTCTGTAGGGTTTTCAAGGCTGTACATTTTTACAGGCATGGACTGCCTCATCTTCTCCCACAGAGTGACTGGTGAGTTCAAACCCTTTGGCTAGTAGTCCAGTGCTTAACCTGTTGCTTATTCTATGCCCCGAAACCAAGCCCAAACCGAACCAACCTACTGCAATCAAGTTGAGCCTGAAACATAGTGACCCTACAGAGGGTTTCCAAGGCGGTAAATGTTTATGAGTGCAGAAAATCTCATCTTTCTTCCACAGAGTGGATTTGAACTGCCAGCCTGTGGTTAGCACTCTAGTGGTTATCCTATAGTACCACCAGGGCTCCTCTACACCTCCACCCACTACCATAGCGACTTTATATAGGGTTTCCAAGGCAGTAAATCTTTACGAGAACCGAAAACCTCTCCCCCACAGAGCAGCTGGTGGATTCCAACTGCTGATCTTGTGGTTAGCAGCCTGAGGTAATAACCCATTCAGCCCCTGAGTTCCTGCCTATTTCTCCAGGACTCCCCAAATGAATTTACTACTATTACCTACCAGTTAAATACTGGTCAAGTGCTTTATATATGCCATTATTTGTTTTCTTACTATTCTTGTAGGAAACCTGGTGGTACAATAGTTAAAGCACTCAACTACTAACAAACAGGTTAATGGGTAAAACTCTCGCTACTTTGGAAGAGATGGAGCTATCAGCTTCTGTAAAGATTTACAGCCTTGGAAACCTTATTGGGCAGTTCTACCTATCTGCCCAACTGATTGGAAAAGATCCGTATTTGTGCACATTCCAAAGAGAGTTGACCCGATGGAATGTGGAAATCATCGGAATATATATATATATATTTAAGGATTTTATTGTGGATTGATTGAAAGTTTACAGGGCAGATCATCAGTTTTATATTCAACAAATCATACACCTTGTTTCATTACAATGATTATAATCCCCTCCATGTACCATCAGTTAACAGTATTTCTCTCTATTCACTTTAGCTTTTTTAAAAATTAAAAAAAAAAACACACACACTTAGGCATATATAATAATTTACACCTCCAAAAGGCACATTCTTCAAGTCTGCCTCCTAGCCACCAGCTCTTAGTCCCTCTCTTCCCATGAATCTAGAGTCCTCAGCCGCTCCCCCTCTCCATGACCCCATCTCTGGCGATGCTGCTTCTCTGGATAAGGTCCCATATTCTGCTTGTGCTCTTCTCCCTTGATGG